AAATCCTCTTGACAGCAACCATTGCCGGTCTCAATTGTGAAAATTGACTCAGGGGATGCATAGTGATTTTCATGATGACAGTCGTCTTTGAGTATAGAATCCAGAGGTTAGCAGTGAATATTTCGAAGACAGTAAGGAAGCGTTGTTCAGGTTAGCAGTGGATATCCCGGTAAAGTAGCAGAGCGTAGTTCAGTAGTTATTCCTTCTGCTCTTTCGCCTGACAAGTTGGCACTGGACATTCGGAGAGAGTAAACAAAATGGCCGCCTTTATACACGACGGATTGAATATTTTACGTCTTCTGATTGGTTAACCTTCTATTGGTGGACTATAAAGTGAGTCAAGTCATTTGGGCTAGCTCACTAGTACATATATACACAAAAACCTGTAACACATAGTCATCAAGAAAATCCTGTTATCGAAGGTGAAAAATCAGAAAAAGACACATGAACAAAAAAGCATAAAAATTGAAGATTGAAAGAGAGGCAAAACATATTGTGGAGAGATGGTTTTAAATTTGAAGTTTAGTGTAGCAAGAAGAGAGTGTATGTGAAAATAAGACCAGGAAAAGACTGAATGATGAATGTGTGATTCCAAAGGTTAAACATGGAGGTCAGTCTGTTATGGTATAGAGGTATTTTGAGGGAGATAGGGCTGGAGATTTGATTCGGGTCAAGGGTATCATGAATAAAGAACAATGCTATTCGAGTTTTAAAAGGCATTCTATACCATCTGGTTTACGCGTAATTGGAAAATAAATCACCCTGCAACAAAACGACGATCCAAAAGAAGTTTCAAAGTTATAAAATAATTCGAGGAAGAAAATAAAAAAAAACGAACAGAATTTTGAAAATAGTGAGTTTATTGTCTCAATCCGCTCATCTTTCTCATTGGATTAGTATGAACAGAATTTAAAGAGAATGCTCAAAGAGTGGGAGTGAGCTTTCTCTGTGCTCGAAGAAGGTCTGCGATCTACGCTATTTTTTTTAAAACCTGTTAAAAAGAATGCCATAAAACTGTAAAGTAGTGTGAATATGGTGGTTTTATTGACGAAAGCAAAATATGATGCTGTTGTATGATAATTTGTTTATATTTAAGTCTATACTCGTTTTAAAAAGAAAATACACTGTATTTACAGAAATATTATACATTACATAAAAATACAAACAAATATATAATTTTAAAGTGTTTATCATTTAAAGAAATGCTGGATGGCACCAAAGATTTCGTCTGAAGTATATATACATCTATTTATATATCTGTCTATCAATACACACTCTCTCTCACACACACACACACACACACACACATATATATATATATATATATATATATATATAAATCTATATATCAACACATATATATAAATATAAATCCATCAATATATATATATATATATATATATATATATATATATATATAAAAACACTAATATTCAATGGTTATAATTTATTACATTGGAATCGTAATCACGATCTAATTCATCAGACCTATATATATATATATATATATATATATATATATATATATATATATAGATAGATAGATAGATAGATAGATAGATATATAACGATGAAAAGCATCATCAAGTGTTCCTATGAGATCCTAGATATTGCAAATTATGTGGTTTGTATACTGGTCACGAGCGGGACTGCAGTGTCACATACGGCACAAAACTAAAAACTGAATAAATATTTTGGATTCTCATACGCCGAAAGCGATGGGAAAGTTTGTGTATATATATATATATATATGTGTGTGTGTGTGTGTGTGTGTGTGCGCGCGCGAGCGTGTTAAATTTCTCAGAATAAATCTGTACAGAAGACAAATTGAATCAAATTGAGAATCAGAAAGTAGTTCTAAGTCCTTGCCGCGCCTTTCGCCATTTGACTTTTTCAGCGAAGTTAATGGTATAAATGGCGAGAATACATGATCTTTTTTTTCTGGGAAATGGCTGCGACATTGCTCTATTAACTGAACAATTTAGTTCATGCCACAACGACTGAAAAAAAACTACTACAACAAAAGAATACTCCTATTAACATAATAGTAAAAAAAAAAAAAAAAACGCACTCTCTTTTAAATTTTCAAAAAATTCAACCTTAGCGTTGTGACCCCACGCCCCAGAAATTGTTACAGTTAACAATAACACATTTCTAAAAAACATATTTCGATGCACATCTAATCTTTCGTGTCCTGTTATTACATGGATGTATTAAAAAAATAAATCAATTTTCATGCCTGATGATGTCTGTATGAACAGATGAAAGTACTATAAAAAAGACCTTATACAAGTTGAATTTATTAAAAACAGGAATCACAACATTCATCTAGACGTTCGTGGGTTAATGTAATTTTAATAAAATTGTTTCCGAAGATGTATTCTCTGTTTTTTTTTGTATGAATGATTCATATTCGATATATATATATATATATATATATATATATATATATATATATATATGTGTGTGTGTGTGTGTGTGTGTGTGTGTGTGTTTGTGTTTATATATATATATATATATGGTGATAATATTAGTGGTAAATACACACATACATATGCAAAATATATAAATATATATACATAGGTGCATACGCATACAAGAACCAGTATATACATACGCATGTGTGCATGTGTATGTGTATGTATGTGTGTGTATGTACTGATTCTTTGTGGTTGGACGGTGTGTATGTGCGTATGTGTATGTATGTGTGTATGTGTACAAATGAGTTTACTAATTCCTCGTAGTAAGACAGTATATGTATGGAGGGGGAATATACGCACGCATATATACACGCATGCTGGCAGAAACACGAAATGGAAACTGATCTAAGAACACACAGGGGTCAATAAAACATTAAAAGATAAAATGCCGATAAGTAATTAATCATTTATCTTGGATCAACCTTAATTGTTTTATGACCCTTCGCGCAGAACTCTTCATTGCCAATTCAAAAAAGACATTCGGATTACTAACACAAAAATAGAGAATATCTCATATCGAGAATATTTCAGGAAAAAATTAATTATTTTTAATAATATGTGGAAATCTCCGCCTTTTACCTGAAGACGGTCACGAGACCAGAAACACGTGTAGTAAAATTATGGAAAATAAAAGCATAATATTTTTTTCTAAAAAACACATTACAACCAAAAACGTTTGCAGCACCTCTCTTCTCTTCTTTTTTATATATATATATATATATATATATATATATATATATATATATATATATATATATATATATATATATATATATATATATATATAAGTATGTATGTATGTATATATATATAGTACAGGTAATTATTCGTTTGCTATATAAATTAAGTGGATCTTAATAATATAAAATAATTAAAACTGATCCGCAAAAGAGCTCAATATATTTATTATAACAGAAAATTACAAATAAAGGAATCCAAAGTTACCTCATGAGAATAGCTATTTCAACTGGTGTTACGCTAGTATTTTTCAACTCAAATGATGTGTTGATAAAAGTTAGAGACTTAAAAGTTAAATATTTAAAAAAAGAAAACAAAGGCGCAGCCATTGATAATAAGTTATTGAGTTAAATAAACAAATCCAGGTTAATGTCATGGAGAGGCGGATATTGCATGGCTTCAATAGAAAGAGATAACACAAACTTGACCAAGATGTTAATTCCACTACCCCAAGTGTTGGTTATGAAAAAAATCCGAAGGGAAATAAAAATATGTTAGAAGCAATTTAAAAAATAAACAGTTAAAAAAGATTAAAAATTGGGAATTTAGGGAGAAAGATCTGAAGCCTCAGATTGACGAGAAAATTATATGTTTTGCTCAAACTCCTAATAATTTTAAGAGCAGATGTGAGCTATGATTAGAAGACAGGATTAGATTATAAAATTCAAGAATCAAAGTATACTACGAAACGAAAAGAATGAATTAGTTTCAAAATGTTGTCATAGTATTAGATTTAAACTTGTCTAATATACTCTTGATCTTACATAATCTTTCCGTATCTAACCCATTTTATATTATATCATTAAACTCTAGCTATTTTCATATCTTATATTCTCCATATCAATCCTATTTGATAACCATTCACGACTTAACGAACTCCCTTTTCATTTGATTTTTATAATTTTAGTTTTTTAAAAGGTTTTTCAAATGTGTTATTTTATCCTTGGTATGGTCGTTATTCTTAGTAATTGAATTTAACTTATCTTTAACATTTGTATATAGTTAATATTATATTTAGTTATTATATATATATATATATATATATATATATATATATATATATATAATTTAATAGATATATATATATATATATATATATATATATATATATATATATATTTTAATATATATATATATATATATATATATATATATATATTTAATTTAATAAATTAAATTAATATTTAATTTATTCAGAGTTTTTCTTCTTTTTACTTCCTTTTTTTGTATTTTTTAATTTATGTTTTTCCTTTTAATTTTTTTTACTACAAATTATCTCATTGATATATTGTTACTCTTATATTTGCTAGAATATTTTTAGTCATTTTTAAAGGAAAAATCTTTTTTGTTTTTTTGGTTTATAACTAAAAATTTATTATTATATTTTTTTTTAATTTTTTAACTTCTTTTTTTAACTTTTTTTTTTTAATTTTCCTTCCATAATTTGATTTCCCTTCGGTATTTTTCATAACTTTTTCTATTTATTCCAGACAATATCCACCCCCTTACCCTTATAAGGGTTAAGCTTGGTTAACTCAATATCTTATAGTCAACGGTTGCGCCTTATATTCTTTTTAAATATTTACTTTGGAAGATTCCATCTTTGCACACCATTTGAATAGAGAAATACTAGTGCATTAACGCTAGCTGAAATAGCTATTCTCATGAGGTAATTTTGGATTTCTCTATTTTTGTAATATATATATATATATATATATATATATATATATATATATATATATATATATATATATATACGGGGATAAAAACACTTGAAACAATATGCGTAACGTGAGATTTGAAAATAGTTTATGAATAATGTACACAGGAAGCATCTTCTACAAATTCCATTACAGTCATTGCATATAAATTTACTTCCGAATAAGGTGAATAATTTTGTTTTTATTGATTTCGACCATAAACTATAGATAAAAATTGATCAATCGATATCTACAATATGATTTTCAATGCTGGAATGCGATTCTTAATGTCATCCAATGAGAATCTTATCAATTTTAATAATTCTTCATTGATTTAAAACTTTTGACGATGATTTTTGTAAAGTCTCAGTATTCATGTCCAATTTAGAACGAATCTATTTTAATGTTTTTAAGAATATGTTTATTAGATCGAAAGGCTAAGTGGATTTTTTTTTAAAAAATCGTTGTCCTGAAATGTAGAATTTAATAACTTTACTTAGATTTTCATTTATCAAATTAATACTGAATAATTGTTGATTGAAATGCAAGAAAAATATATACAGTAAAATCCCTGATAATTGAACCAGTATGAATCAATCACTGGAATTGCTGATGATTATTTAAAGCTTACTATTTTCTCTATCTATCTATCTATCTATCTATCTATCTATCTATCTATCTATCTATCTTATTGTGTTCATATTCAATCACATTCTATTAACGCCTCTCTTTATATATTTATCTATGTCTATCGATCTAGCTATCTCATTGTGTTCATAAATATGGGTCTATTTCATTGTGTTCATATTACGGAGCTATCCCATTCTATTCATATCTATCTATCTATCTATCTATCTATCTATCTATCTCATTATGTTCATATTCATCTGTTGCATTCTGCTCACGTCTCTCTCTCTCTCTCTTTCTCAATATATATATATATATATATATATATATATTACAATGAATCATTCATACAAAAAGTAGATTAGTAAAGTCAATGATATAAAATGGCGAAAACTCTTCGCAGACAAAATTTTAAAGTTGCATTAACCTACGAACCACTCGATGAATGTTATGATCCTTTTTTTTTAATAACTACAAGCTGTATAAGGTCTTTTTGTAATATGCTAGTACTTTCAACTTTCTATCTATCCTATTGTGTTCATATTTATCTATGTATACTATTCTGTTCACATTTTACCATTCTCACCATATTTTGCAATCATTTCCTTTAAAGAAAGACAATAAACCAACTAGAACGAAAGTGAACACTGCGTGTGAATATATGAAGAATAGTAAAACATTATTAAGGAAAGAAAATAATTAAAAAAAATAACAGATGTTAAGAAAACTCATAATAACGATTGACATTTCATTTATTTTTTTAAAGTTATCTGGAAATCAAAATGCCAGTAAAAGTTCTACAGACGAGCAGTGCGAGAGAAGAAAAATGCTAGCATAGAACATGCGACTGCATCTAGCAATTTCAAATTCAAAATGATGTGACCGATTTTCCAATCCAGTATTGTACTGAAATTTTTAACGGCTAGGCACGAAAGAGGAACCTTCATCAGAACAATTACCATGAAAATATTAATAGAAAATGCACAAATATGACTGAAGCCGATATGCTATGTCAGAATTGTAGCATTACAGACCCTGCTTTGGATTATGTAAAAAAAAAACTTTAAATACTTAGCAGAAGCGCTTGTCCATATGTCACAGCAAAATCCGAATTATAGTCGAATGTAAACTTATAAATATGTAAAAGTTTTCTAGCGAGACAAACTGGTTAGCACAGCACAATGAATCAGAGTTCTTAGCACCGTACCTAGAAATTGATTAGGTTTTTTCAATAAACGTGCTGTTAATTGTGTAAAGTTAATATAACATATTCTTGTTTCGTCGAGGTGAATGATATACAAAGAACGAGTGATTAATATGTTTATTCAGCACCAGTATCCGATGCTAACAGATACATACAAAAAACACAGAACAACAGGTTACAAAATAATTAACAAGACAACTTACAATGAATAGAGGAGGATCAAATGCTGTATAGCCAAACGAAGTAAGATCAGTCCGAATATTAATCAGCTTAGTATCAACTTATTAATCAAATGTTGAAGTCCTTAATTGTAGACTAATTAAGGATATGAGCCAAACAACCTGGTAGACTGCTGAAGGGGTGCTAGCTACTCTACAACAGATAGATTCCGGATTTTTGATTTGCAATTAAGATTGATCTTGAAAGAATTTAATGTCATACCAATCATTAAGTTTTGTCTCCGTAATTCTTACTCACGTATTTTTCTCTCTCCATAATAATACTATATTAATTGTTTCTATTTTTGGTTCGTCAATGCGGTTCAGGAAACAATTGGTTTTGTTTTTTACTTATATTCCTATATAGTGAAATTTAAAAAAAAAACAAACCCGTAGACCGAGAAAACCGACTGTAGAAAATCTGCCAGCCGACTGGATTGAAACCTGTATCCAGTTTTCCATCAGCGACACTGGCACTCTAGCCGAAGCGTATTCGTAGCAATTTGGCTAAGTAGGACCATCTTGATTCTTTAAAGTTTAATTAAATCTCTAGATCATTTGTTATTAATTTCAATCTTTAAAAAGTTAGGTAAGGGGTTGTAATTCAAACACGTGTAACCGACAAAATGAAACTTTAGATTGCTATAAGTGTTAATGACTGATTAAAAATCCATTTATAAAAATCATTCGATAGATCGGTAGAATATATTCCAGTTTGTGTTGTATCATCGAGATGAAGGATACACAGAAAAGAACGAGTGATTAATATGTTTATTCATCACCATTATCCGGTGCTAACGGATACATACAAAAACCACAGAACCATAAGTTACAAAACAATTAACAAGACAACTTACAATGAATAGATGAGGGTCAAATGTTGTATAGCTAAACGAAGTAAGATCAGTCCGAATATTAATCAGTTTTGTATCAATCTATTAAACAACTGTTGAAGTCTTTAACTGGAGACAATATAAGGCTATGAGCCAGGCCATTTAGTAGAGAGCTGAAGGGGTGCTTAGCTAACCTACAATAGAAATTAAGTATATTCTTGATAATGCCAACATTCTCAACAGTCGTAGCATGAACGCCCGACGGACTGCCTATGTACATCCTTTCTATAGAAAGCCACATTGCCTGATGTGTTTGTTTTTTTCGCTCAGGATCCGTAACTCTTCAACATAAGAAGGCACATAGTGATTTACCAAGCGTAGTTAAGATATGGCACAAGGCCGAAAATATAGAGCATTCATTGAGGATACAACTGACGATTCAGTCGTAATTGTTCTGGCGAGACAAGCTTGCTAACCAGTCTTGGCTATGACGATAAACTACATCCGCGTCCTGGGTAAGACGATCAACTACGTCTAGCAACAAGGCTTCTTATCAGGAGGTTTTGAGGGGCGTGAAACCAACTCTTAATTGCAGGTGTTTCGAGGTCCACCCTGACCTGGGGTGGTAGCACCTGTTAGTGTCCCAGCCATGGGCAAATAGTTAACACCCAAACTTGTGTAAAAATAGCTTTTACTACCAGAAATACTTCGTAATAAAAAAAATTATTACCAGCCAAAATTTTGATGGAAAATTTATTATCAGCAATACTTTTAAAAAAATAACAGCAATATAAGCAGCTAAACATTCTTTGAAAAAAATATGACCAGCTATATATTTCTTCAAGGAAAAATATTGCGAGAAAATTTTTTGAAAAAAAACATTACCAGCAGTAAAAATTTTGTCGGCTTTAAATAACCCTTTGAGATTGGTATGCCGTAAGACAAACCAAAGCAAACGAAAAAAGTTTGTTAATTATTACACCGCCTCGAGGTGCCCAAAGGCAGATTTTTATATAACTAATTTGCAAATGACGCGTTAAAAACATGAGGAAAAGCTGCATCGCTATTAGTTATTTGAATATTCTTTTTCCATGGAAAATATATCCACTTGCAACTACATCGATTTCTTTATGTGGAACGATTTATTTTAATACAGCAATAATTCCCCTGTAAGTAAAGTAAATTGCGCGCATTTCATGAGGTGTAACATCCTCCAAATTTGAGAGTATGTAAATTATAGGATTTTGATTACAATTTTTTTTTTTTTGTTTTAAGCCAATTTGTTTCCGATGTAAAATGGCTTTAATTACATTTTCATCCAGCAATCCTATAAACCGAAGAAACGAAACGCAAGTAAGAAAACAAAGGAACAGAAAAAAATGAAACCCATGGATATATATATATATATATATATATATATATAATTATTTATATATTATATGCTTGGCACTTATTAGAAAGCGCTCAAGATATATAGACGATTGAGTACGTTTAACTGATTACCCAAGGGGCGGTGTGTGAGTTATCTGTATTATTTAAACAAACACACCGGTATGCATGATTGCAGCATTCGAATAAACTCACGAGAAACACAAACAGAATATATATACTCAAACACGCAATAGAAAACACAGACGCATACATTGTAGCTTATAAATGCGTACATATTTACCTATATATTTTAAAATACATTTTTATCTAAAAGAATCATGCTCGGGTTTTGTTATTTGTTATGAAATATTATGCAACCAACACGGACATAATTAGTTATTATTTTTTAATCGACTCTACGTTATTGAATCTCTCTAAATCAAGCAAGGGGGCAGCAGTTAAAATTGGAAGACATAGAGCAAATATATATATATATATATATATATATATATATATATATATATATATATATTTGGAGTGATGTGAGTTTGTGACCCTCGGTTTAACACTTTTGCGATCGTCAGTGTTTGTCTGACGATCGCAAAAACACTGGGGTCACAAACTCATCACTAAAAAATATTAACTCTGTCTCTGATTTTGAGCGCTTTCTAATAATTACCAAGCATATAATATATAAATAATTATATATATATATACAGTGTAACCCGGATGAAAGAGACCCGGATATAAGAGAGATTTTCTCTGGTCCCAAATTAGAACCTGTGTTAATGTATATAAATTAGACCAAACCCGGATATAAGAGTAACCCGGATATAAGAGACTTCTTCTCCTGTCCCGACAACTCTCTATATCAGGTTACATATATATATATATATATATATATATATACATTTTTTCATATATATATATATATATATATATATATATATATATATATATATTAATAATATGTATATATATTACTAATGTTTATAAATGCAAGACCCAAGAGCCACTCAAGGCAGAGTAATACGTGGTGTTTGTACGAGCGTATACAAAGCCTATAAGTCAGGTTCATGAGGATATTTAACACATAACAGTTAAACTTAGTCGTGAAGTAGTCAATATTTAATGATCTTGAAACATCCTGTCTGGAATCTGTCCCACAATGTAACAGGTCTTGGGAAGAAGCTGTTTGACTAGAACTATGGAATATGAAAGAAACTGATACAACCTCATATAAGCGATATGGCGAATGTGGCCACAAATATCATGGTCAGTGCAGTCAAAAAAATATTGTATAGTCGTTCTATTTGTTCAAATAAATAACACGACACTTAATAGACGACCGCCTTCTTCAGTGACATTCTAACAATTATGAAAACAATTCAAAAATAATTCTAAAAGAATACAAGCCCCAAGCGGCAGTCAAGATATAGGGTAACTAAATGTATCATAGGAAACGTTTGACCCTACATTTGAAGATGTCAAATTTTGGTAAATTTACACATGAAGCCCCGGAAAACAATTGTAATGAAAACTTCCATGCTGGTGTAAATTTGCATGCTTACTTGGAAAATAACAAGGAAAGTTTGCGAAAGAAAACCCTTTAGGAGTTATCGACAGTTTAATTTCGACATCATTCGCGTCGCCGTTACAGCCCGCTCGCCATTACTGGATTTGTTTAAATACGTTTGCATCGAGTAGTAGCTTAACTTGTCTTGATTACTGCGCAATTTGCGAACTTTAAATTAAATTTCGCGAATTGCCCAGTAATCAGGACGTGTAAAAAGATAAGAATATCAGTAAAAAGGATGTTAACTAAGTAAGATTCCGCGCATTACTTTTCGAGACAAACATATGTAAACAGCGCCAGTCATGGGAGCCGGACTGAACGCGAATAAGTCCGAACTTATATTGTCGATAACTCCTAAATTGTTTTCTTCCTTGAACTTTTATTGCTATTTTCCAAAATAAGCATGCACATTGACACGAAAATGTAAATTATCATTACAGTTATTTTCTGGGGCTTAATCTGCAAGTTTACCCAAATTGGTAGTGTTCGTGGAAGGGTTCTCTTGGCAACTGTTCCATAACAGGCGTTTATTTCTGTGAAGACGCTGTCCAAATGGAACTTCGTTCTTGTCAAGGGAATACGAAAGGAATTCGGTTACTTCGCGTCTGGCTGGCGGCTCTTAGCTTGAAATATTTGAACTGATGGCAGCATTGAAAAAGTTTGAAAGCGATTACATGGCATTGTAGATTATGAATTGTTTCCCACCCAACAAGTCGCAGAATAACTGTTACTAAACTCTCACTAATCTATTGCCATAATTATGTTCTCATTGACATTCCATATGGCAAATGTTCTCAGTGACATTCCTAACCCCCATCAGCACACACCTTTACAGCTAAGACCCGCCATGATATGTTCAAGGTGGTGAATCATTTCCATTCAATTCGGGTTCTTTTGTTAAGAAATAAGTTTCATTCAGCCAGCTACAATCTTAAATAAAACTCCAAAATCAGCTAATATCTATCCTACATATTCTCGTATTCACTTCTGACTTCCTCCTTTTTGCACCATTATAACAACTTAGTAAATCTCTAGCTTTGTTGGATATCGGTTAAGGAAAGTTCTTTGGCATTACTTCCGCGGCATCAGTGCGTGAGCGGAAACTGAAACTGGTGATAGCATAAGCAGGATATGCATTCGGTGGCTAAAATAAACAGGCTGTACAGGTGTCCTGAGCCTAGGATAAACAGGGTGCACAGTTGTCCCGGAAGGAAATGCGTGCTTGAATGAGCACATATTGGAAGACCTTTGGCTACACGAATTTGCGTCGCCGACATACAGGTAGAAGGCGCAGCCACGTGAAGTTGCCTAGGTGTCAAAATATTAATGATGCGATTCTTGATCTGAATAAAGAGTCTGGCTAGAGGTTCACCGAAGAATTGTCTTCATCTACCGCAAGGAAAGCTGGTTCTCTGTGTCGTACCAGAATTTTGTCGAAGTCCATCTTTCATATCGATAAATAAACCTATCGCTATCCCACAGACGCACCGTGACCTCCCTCTCTCTCTTCTACAAGCATTTTCACGGCAACTGTTCGACGAACTACTTTCGCTGGTTCCCGGACAGCATGAATTTAAGCGAGCTACTAAGCTGACATCTACGTCCTACTATATCACTGTCAAAACGTGTGAATGTAACCGTCTTCCCGTCTGTGGAACTCCCTTCCCCTTACTTGCTTCCCCGATGACTGTAATCTCTAAATATTCAAGTGTAATGTCAATCGACATCTGACACCGTGGCCTTGTTCCCCGGCCTTCTCTGTATTCTTTCTCCAAACTTTCCTCTTTACTCTTGTTCTCAATCCTCTGTAACCCCTTTGCTTGCTAGTGGCACTCCCGCCTTGCTTGGGGTAAATTGCTTAAAAAAATGCATATCCACATGTCTATTCAATAAATTTATCATTATACTGTTCAGACTGCAGTTTTCGTACAATCACTACGTACGATCACCAAAATCCATCTTCTTAGATGAGTGACGGCTCGGTAATATGAGTTTGGATGTGTAGCGGGTGTAATGACCAGAATTGGAAATCTGGGAGCCGAGTTTGATTTCGTTAGAGTCATTTAGGAAAGTTATGAATCCACATATTCTCTTCCAGCTAATGGTTTAATTAGTAGAACTTGTATCAGTAAGTCATTATCTCGAAGAATTCTTACAATCGAAAAATATTTTCTGACTTTAAATATCGAGAAAAATGTTGATAAGCTGTAAAAAGAACAATTCAATCACCTATTGTTTCTTTTCTATTCAGTGTTTCGTGTACATTCTCATTTTCTTTCTTTGTTTGTTTCTTTCTTTCATTTGCTACTACTACTTCTATTGTTACTACTCCTACTACTACTATGATTACTACTGTTTACTCTCTTATTTCTGCATGTCTTCTTCATCATTTTCATCTACTAATCTTTTTTTTTTCTTTTACAACTAAACCTTTGTGCAAATTAATTAAAACAAAACAAATAATATCGTTTTCATTTATCTTATCGTATTTTTACAATGAAACATGACCCAGTGCACATGTTAATATTTTGTATCTTCATTCCACGGAGTCGTCCCTTGCAGATTGACCACAGATTCTCAATTGGATTTAAATCAGGAGAGTTTCCCGGGACAGTCTATAGTACTTTGTTTTGCTCACTGGTAAAGCTTGCCAGTGTGTTTGTGCATCGTTACAATTTTCGTACGCTTCCTTGGAGTAAATTCCATCGCAGGCAATAACCGTAGGACAACTAATCGACAATCGAGACAATAATGTCTGGACGTGATAAAAATCTGATGCAATCACGGATGACGCGATATTTTTCAAGGCCAAACAAATTTCATCACACACCCCGAAAATAGATTCATATTACTGCACACTACTGCAAATGACCTAATCTGAGGAAAAATATAAATCGATTAGACTCTGTCAGACCAGGTAGTCTAAAACTGACCGTATGGTGAAAGAAAGGGAAGTAAATCGATTGTTTCAATTAATTTGAACAAGGGTGTACGACTAATACTACTTCTTCACCCTCCTTTTTTTTTCATCTTTTTTTTTTTTCCAAGTGTGGTTTCCCATCATCTCCTCCTACTTCTTCGAATGCTACTATTGTTGCTGCTTTCTCTCATATATCCAACTTCTTTTTTCTTTTAGACCTTCTCCTTTTTATAATCCTCGAGCCTCTTCCTCCTTTTTAATCCTCTACTACTTCTGCTTTTTTCTACTATTACGACTACTTCTTTCACTCGAATTCCGCCCTTCTTTTCTTTTAGTCCTTCTTCTTCCTTTCATAATCCTCCTGCGCCTTCTCCTCCTCTTTCTCCTTTATTTATTTAATACTATTGCAACTAGTTCTACTAATGCTTCTTCCAGTGTTATTTGCCCCTTCTTTTTCTTTTAGACTGTCTTTTTCTTTTCATAATCCCCTTGCACCTCCTCTCCCTTTTTCTACTACTATTACTACTACTACTACTATCATTACTTGCACTACTGATTCTTCCTCTATTATTTCTCCCTTCTGTTTTTTTTTGCCCTTCTTCAATACATAATCCTCCTGTACCTCATTGTGCGCCCCCTTTTTTCTAATTCTCACTACTACTACTACTACTACTACAGCTTCTTCCTCTCTTATTTCACCTTCTTTTTCTGTTAGTCCTTCTGTTTCTTTAGGTCTTTCTTTTTCTTTTCATAATTCACGTGCGCCTCCTCCCTACCCTCATTCTGCTTCCTCTTTCTACTACTATTACTAATACTACTACTCTTACTAATACTACTGCTTCTTCATCTATCATTTCGCCCTTGTTTTGCTTTTAGTCCTTCTTCATTTCATAATCTTCATCTGCCTCCACCTTTCACATCCTCCTCCTCCTACTCCTTTTTCGTCTACTGCTACTACTGCTTCTTCCTCTCTTATTTCCAATTCTTTTTAGTCCTTCTTTTCAGAATCCTTCTGGGCCTCCGACTCCATTTCCACCTCTACCTTCTTCTTTTTGTACCACTACTACTACTGCTGCTACTACTGCTGCTACTGCTACTGCTTCTTCCTCTCTTATTTCCCATTTCTTTTTTCTTTTAGTTCTTCTCTTTCTTTTAGTTTTAGTTCTTCTTTGCATAAACATCCTGCGTTACTGTTCTTCCTCATTCTTAATCTTCTTTTTCTACTAAAACAACTACTGCTTCTTCCTCTATTTTTCACCTTATTTTTCATAATCCTCCTTCACATCTTCCTCTTCTAATACTACTACTACAACTGTTACTACTACTACTACTGCTACTACTAGTACTACTACAACTGCTACTACTAATACTAGTATTACTTACTCTCGTATATTTACTACTTTTTCATTTCATCTTTCTTCTTGTTCTTGTTCTTCTTCTTCTTTTTCTAATACTTAAGATGGATGAAAAGCTGAAAACAAGACAGATAGTAAGATTTTCTTACGCCAAGTCTTTCTAGATTAGCATGAAATTAAGAATTCGACTTTCTGTCTTCCGATCTCTGTTCAAAAAGTGATCTTTGCAATGGCGGTGAATTTGTAAGTCATTCAACCGGCCTCAATATTTTTATGACAACACAGAAATATTGCGTTAACATGAAACCATATATATATATATATATATATATATATATATATATATATATATATATATATATATGTGTGTGTGTGTGTGTGTGTGTGTGCGTGTGTGTAAAAATATATCGAAAATAGGAAAGAACTCGTTAGGCAAATAATCCAAAGTTATTTAGTATTTTCTTACTATTTTTAAAAAATAGTGCTCGATACAAAAATAAAAGCATAAATATATTTATTTATTTAAAAATATGATTCGAACGCTACATAAGAGTTCTCATGTTTCAAAAAAAAGCCAAAAACTTCAATGTAATTATTTGAATTAAATTGACTTAAAGTACCAAGGTCTGTTCCATCTTCAAGCGAAATTGATTTTGGAATAACTAATTCCTGAAATTTACGCGTTTTATAAGCATATTCATTATTAAAATTAAAATTACTATGGTAACGGCTAGAGCAAGTATTTAAAGAAAATGGGCGTAAGGGTTAATAATTTGTATCAATATCTCAGTTACATTCTCAGTCAAGTATATATATATATATATAAAATAATATATATATATATATATCAAAATATATATATATATATATATATATATATATATATATATATATATATATATATATATATATATATATATATAATAAATAAATTATCAGACAAACGTAATATCTAAACTTTTAAATTAACCGAAACTGTTGTTAATATTTGTTATTTGGATATATACATATTTTTTTTTAATAATCTATTACATTTTTTTTTTATATATTTTCATATTTTCTCTTCCACCATTTTAATTATTCATCATCCGTTTCTTTATCCAACCGGATTATTTTTCTCTATGTTGTTCAGACATTTTCTATCGGTATGGCCTCCACATTATTATTATTATTATTATTATTATTCTTATTCTACTCTTACCACTCCTCTTTCTCCTCCTCCTCATCTTCTTCTTATTACTATAAAAATTTGCTGTCCGTGTAAAATAAAATCACTGGTCGGAAACGCTAGCCAAGCGGATATTTATCTCAGCTATGATAGGTGAAAACAGATGTCAATGGAAGTCAATTACGCAATGAACGAAGAAAAAATATCAGAGAATAGTATATATCTGCGATATACCACGAACATTAACTGCTGTTGATATGAGACGTTCTAGGCTCGTTGAATCCCATGATAAAACACCATACGTAAACACACAAACAAGCACATGCACGCACGAACACCCACACGCACACACACACGCACTCACATATATATTTACATTAGATCAACAATCAGCCTCTCTTTAAACCCTTTTTAACTTGATATCTCTTGTACAATAAAAGGCGTTAATGCGTGTCTGTATATCAAACTCAAACTCTAAAATTTCAACATATATTTGTGGGGGCGCGTGTGTGTGTGCGTATTTAAGCAGGAATCCTCAACACACACACACTTATGTGATCTAATAATTTTTCTTTTCGGATGATAAATTATATAAAAACTGTCCAACTGTTTTCTTTTGTTTTGTTTTTTTTTTTGGGGGGGGGTTGTTGTTATTTTTATCCGAGCGCTTGCGGCTATACATCTAACCGTTTTCAAGATTGAAATATATTAAATGTTGACAAAAATTGTTGTATTCATATGATCTTTTCATTTTCAAACCACGGCAAGATATTGTGTCCATGTTCATAATTGAAATATCATAAAGGACAAATATTATTTACGAATTTAAATGTCCATTAAGGAATTGCATTCCTATCAATCAAAATTCGTAAATAATTATATAGGCCACACTACAACATGTTTGACACGAAGACTCACTCTACACCTTTCTGACCATAGCTCAATTACATGTCATTTAAATATTCATGGAGACCTACCGGACACTATTCTTAACATACTTGTTGACAACACAAATATAATACCTTCATTTACATGCAAAAAAATAAAAAATAAAAAAAATAATGGAAGCCTTATTAATAATTAAAAAAAAAAAAACACTCAATAATATCAACTATGAATATATACACAATATCTTACATTTTGTTCTTCCCGATTCTCTAGATTCAAGTCTGTTCAAAGATCTAAGCACAGTTCAAAAGTGGTT